ATTACACTGTAAATGATAATCTACCTTAACCAAAATCAAAGTAGACTATCACTCACCCACACCAGATGGAAAACTCTACAGACTGTCGGTTATAGAGAGAGAGAGAGAGAGAGAGAGTGGACAGGGCAAGCACAGGGCGATAACTGAGAGTCTGTAGGAGATGTCACAGACATCACACCCATTCGGGGGGTAAACGAACGACGAGCAGAAATTTCATTCAGAACTGTCAACAGTGCAACGGAACTGAAAACAGTGCGAAGTGCTTAAGGGGTTGGAGAGGGAGAAAAAGAGGCAGAAACGGCCAGCCAAAGGAAGGTGGAGAATATAGGAAACTCACCGAAAACCGAAAGGATAGCTTGCTCGGAAACAGATGCAAGACATACAAGGGCATGTGAGATCATCCACAAAACACACAGAGGGAGCGTGAGAGAAGGAGAGTTTCGCGCAACAGAAATGACAAACGTAGCAGGACGAGAGATGCTATGGGGAAATGGAAAATGGAAATGGAAATGCGAAATGGCCAGAGAATCAGGGGCTCGACATCAGGGGCGGGGCCACTGAAGCGGACAGGGAGTTAGGAAGGAGGTGGGGAGATCTTGCCAAATAATACAACTCGGGAGAGGGAGCGCAGAGGAGTCCCAAGTGCTGGCACACCTTTTTCAGCCGGATCTGCGTATCATGCAACTGGTCCGTTAGGTGCCGGACCATTGCGCTCTCTTCTGTCTGCTTCCGCCAGCGATCCACCACACTCCTCTCCCTCTCTGCCTGCAATTCCAAAGAATCAGCAAATTCACACAAACGAACAGCATTATGGTAAACCCTGCACAGCTGCACTGCACTGTCGCATCAAAGTTCAGAATCAATCAGCTGCATTGAAATAACTGCCACTTCAATCCCCTGCATGTACCTTCCTCTTCATAGAGATCTACAAGGAGTTCACCAAATAATAAATGACATGCACTCACATCTACCATTCAAGGATCTGATCTGCCAATCAGATCTTCACCAAGTGGACAACAACCTGCCTGAAGACCTCTCTCTCTTTCTCTCTCTCTCTCTCTCCTGTCTCTTATACACATCTAGATGTGTATAAGAGACAGCTGTTAGGTGTTTACTTGATTTGCCCAATTTCAGTCGAAGCCATTCATCAGCAACCACACTTGATTAGAATGAAGAAACGCTCATGATTGAAACTTCACTCAATTGAAAAAGGACTAGACTCAATCGTTTTCCAATCGAGTGAAGTTTCAATCAAAAGCGTTTCAATCCCAGAAACGGTGTACGTCCCCTTTTTCGGCTCACAGCCCCAAGTTCCATGCAACAAACAGGACAGACCATGATACAGCAGCAAAATCTCGACAACGGCTATGGCTGCACCAAATCTCCCTTATATGCTAGTGCTAAATTTGGCGCCGCTCAGTATATGCTAGCAGTGCCTAGCACTAAATATAGCGCTGAACTGAATGATTTCCCTACCCGACTTGCCACTTTTGTTGGACCGTCTCATCCCTTGTGCGCCTGCAGTCTGAAAGGGCCTACTCTAGCCTAAGCTAACAGAGAGTTTAAAGAGAGGTCCCGGGTTCAAAACTCAACAAGAGAAGAAAAAACAGCAAAGGACTCGAAAAACATGCAGGACACTGAGGAAGGTTGTGTGGGTTCGAGTCCCGCAGCCCCAACACAAACAGCTTTTCATCCCTAACACTGTTCAGCCCTGGAAAGCATTGTGTGCCCTCTTAGTATCACACCCACTATCTCCTCACCCCTCTTAGTATCACACCCACTATCTCCTCAACACCCCCCCCACCCCCCACCCCGTCCTTTTCGACGAAATGAACAAGACGAGTGATCCGTACCCCACTGGCCCGACACACACAGCTCTTCATGTCTCACACTGTTCAGCTCTGGAAGCATTATATGCCCTTCTAATACCACATCCACTTTCTCCTCAACCTCTCCCCCCTTTTCCACCCCCACCTTTCGACCAAATGAACGAGCCGAGTTGCTGGGCTGGCAGTTTGGCTCTCGTTACGGACCAGCCACACTAGCCGCTTGTTCTAAGTACCAACCAGCGCATACTACGTTAACTCCACTCTACTCCTGACCCCACAGGACCAAGCATCCACCTTACTACCGGTCTCATGAGATAAAGGTTTCACTTCACTGCTGCTCACGAGGGACAAAGGTCCACACTCTGAGATCACTAGCTTCCCCTCTTTCAGTACAAAATGTTCATGTCATTGAAGACTCTTTCAGTACAAAATGCTCATGTAGTGTGCACTACAGTTAAGGAGTTGAAACTGGTACGCTACTACGCACGCTACATGTTTACGAGTTAGTTGATTTGGCTATTTCTGAGGCAGGTTGCTGGGCTTATACGAGTTGGTTTCACTTCTGGTTGGTGCCGCCAGCCATTTTTGTTCC